AGCTAATTCGTAAAACTTTTTTTTTTTTAAAAACTTTTTTTTTTTTATATTTTTAAATTAAATAAAATTTATAGCCTAAATTTAATATCCAATTTTTTGGAAATTTATATACGCATGATATAAAAGTTAAGATTTGCTAACTATAAAATTGTACAATAAATTCCAGCTTCCATCTTTGCTAACACAAACTATAAAACTTTCAACAGTATTTTTATTAACTCTTATTGTATATGTATTATCAATACTATCTTGTTGTACCCCATGCTGTTATCACTATATCTGTAGCTCAAGAAGCTTTTATCATCGTCATAAATGCTCAAGATCTTTTGTCAGGTAAAGAATTTTTTCGAATTCTATTAAAACATTAATAATTTCAATTTCTTCTTTATAATAAATCTAGCTAATTCGTAAAACTTTTTTTATAAATTTAAGTATTATTTAGTTTTTGTTAAATTTTATTAAAGATTTTTACTAATAATCATTACAGGTTTTGTTCACAAGGATTCCACTGGATAATATTTATTCTATCTCTGCTTTTAACATTAATTTTATTTGTGTTAAATGCTATATTATTATCGTCTGTACATGGCTTTGGTAGTAATCAAATTGCATTTGAAATCAGTCACGTTAGTTTTTATTTATTTTTAATTCACTTTCTGTAATTAAAAAATTAACATGATGACATTTTATCAAATTAATTAATAATTTGATAAAATTTACAAAAAAGTTTTTTTATTATATCAATAACTTACTAAAAAATAATTTTATATAAAGTAAACAACAAAAATTAAAATTATAGCTAATTAATCATAGTCAAATTAACTTTACTTATTTGATTTTTAGTATATATGCCACTGATTTTGAGGTGTGTGTAGCAGTGTCAAATTCTCAAAAAACAATTCAAGCAAGTATTGAAACTTTTTCTAAGGAGCATTTAAGTACGCCAGATTTAAAATACACGTGTAAACCTATTTGGGAAGATGGCGGATTTGGCATGGGATTTTATAGAAGAGAAGCTGGAACATGGCAAACAAGACTTACTTTGAATGAAATGCAAATTTTAGCAAGTTATTGGAATATTTTTTTTCGCTAATATAAACTTATGAATTGGAAAGTTTTCGCTATAATAGTATAAAATTTTGTACTGATTCATGTTCTTGTTATAAAACGCATAATTAATGAGTTCAAAGTGCATAAATTATGATAAATGATTATATTTGTTCTTTTCACATCCTTAAATCAAGGTTATTAGTAATTTCGAGTACAAGTATCACTCTAATTTAGGCTATATCAACAAGAATTGTGATGGAATATGAAAATGATCGTCAAAATCCTCGTCATACATTGAATTATGATTATGTATTACTGAAACGAGAAGATCAATCTCGATTGAACTCTGTTTGTATTCCTGGAAATGAAACAAACTGGTGATTACATTACTTGAACTTTTTTTGCTTAATTATTATTTTATTTTTAAGTACGAATACCGAATTTATATTATTTAATTATGTAATAAATTTTGCAAGTTATGATAAATTATGAAAAACGTTCCCATATTTGATTTGTATATTTTTTTAGTTATTTTTTTGGAAGCAAAAGTAAAGTTATTTATGATAGATTAATAAATATTCAGTATAACTTTTGTTTACTTTATGATTTGAAATTTTACTTTTACTCATTTTACTATAAACTGTTTAATCAATATTGCTATAAACTAAATTTTAACAATTATCAGCAAAGTTATTAATTATTATTTTTTAACTCCTCTAAAATATATTATTAAATTGCATTTAACTTTTATTGGCTATTGAAAAAACTATCAAATGATGCTAAGACCTTATGTGGAATCATTTATCTTAGTTTTTACTTAATTAATTTATTAATTAAACAAATTAATTTGCCAATTTGTTGATCCGTTTAATAATTGTAGTTATAGTAAGAAATAACCATTAAATTTTCAGGAAATTTTTAGATGAAATCAACGAATTACCTTGGCCATATTTTGCGGCATGTGACCGTTCGTGGACAATTGAATGGAGTGCTTTAATTGACTGCAATTTGCATATTAATAAGCATAATTCACGAGTTCAAAATGATGACCCTGATTATATATTTATTTAATTATTTAATTTCATGTTTTTATTCAAATATTTAATTTTTGCATTTAAATTTTACATATCTAATCTACTTGTTTTCAATTGTCCTTGCGCGACTTTTACATGCAAATATTATTCTTTTACCTCAAAGTATTGTATTATTAGTTAACCAAAAATCCTTTTAAAATACTTTTTAAACATTTTTGAAAAAGAAAAATACTAAAAACAGTAATGTAATTTTTGCATTTTCATTCTGATTCATTCATTGTAAGCCATTTTTTGATGAAAATAAACGCTCTTTTTGATTAAAAATAATTAAATTAAAGTTTGTTTTATCTGATCAAATTTTTATCCATTTTTTTGTACTGTTTTTTTAAATAAATAAAAGCTAAAGTATTATATGACTTGCGCTCAAGTCTGATATCTAAATTTACATGCATAATCGAATAATTTCGAATTAAATCAAATAATTTCGAATTTTCTTAATTTTTGTTAGAATGATACAAAGTTGTTGTAGTATTTATGCTCTTATCATATCAATGATTAATTATTTTTCGCTGTAATGGCCAAATGCCTTTTGTCTGCCAATTTTATTTTTATCTGCATATTCAAATAAATAATTTCAATTTCATCTGAATGTTAAACTATAAATTGACCTATTATTCTTTTTAAATGCACCTGAAATGCATACTTGAGTACCACAGCATACGAAATTTTTCCAAGAAGCGAAACTAAAACTTTAAAGGAGCAAATTTAGTACTTAATTACTATAACAAAAAATTTGTATTGGCGCCTTACAAATTGTCAGTTAAAAGATCTTCATAGCTTAATTTAAATATGCAAATATATGAACAAGTTTTAATTTTAATCAGTTAGTAAACATTTTTGTCACCAAATTTTATTTTGCATTAATTAAATAATAAAATACTGGAAATTTCAAGTTAGAAATGCTTAAAAATGTTTGAAGAAGCATTGTATTATCACATTTATGATAAGATCTTTCTTTTTTTGTTTTTTATTACAACAAAATACTTGATTCACACAGAATACTTGTTTGGTTTTTTTGAAATTAAGATTTAGCATAATTTTTTGGGATTTTTAACAGTTATGATTATATCTGTGATATGAAAAATACAGTAAAAAGGCTTGAAAATGATAGTACCAGAAATGTTGATGAAGTACTGGCAAGGCTTTTTCAGCTAATATTTTTTCATTATCTCAATAACAAATGTACATTTTTACTATTGCTTCATTTTTTTGCTGAGCAGTGTTATACGTCGAGCTTCTAAAAAATATCGAACTTTGTGAATTAATAATTATAACTTTAATTTATCATGATTATCGCTATCGTCATTCTATCGATTGTTGAAATGAAAGTAAATTTTTAATCAGTAAGAGACTGCCAAACTATCTATTATTATTCAAAAATTGTAATATACTGACCTTGTTGATTTACTATTATTCATTCATATCAACAAAGAAATATTTGTATGTTTGAAGTAATTCATCTTCCCTCGTTTTACTACTTTTAAGATTAGTTTAACTTTTATTGATCACTGTAGATCAGATCAATTAAAGTTACATCAGATCAGTTAGTTACCACTTAATATTGTAATGCATAAGCTTTAGTGAAAAATTTTTCATTTTGTCAAAATTAGTAATATAACAGTATTCTTAAAACATATGCTCTTCCGTACCCTTCACTTCTATGCACTCAGTAATGTGCTTGTCAGAGTGATCATTTGTCTAATTTGATCTTAACTCTAAGACCAAATGATTATTCATTCTTCAGATTGATTGCTTGCTTATCTAATCTTTACGTAAAAACACGTAAATCATTTCATTTTTAAGAATCATTCTTTATTTGGTCTCATTTTAGCCTGAATGAAGATCACACTTCGAAAATCAGTTCACTTCACTCACGTAATCTTTTTTAATTGAATGACCCCATAAGTGACCCCATGTAGTCATTTATCTTCAATACTTTCAGTCAGCTGGCTGCAAATCTTAACAAATCTTTTTTCTTCATTTTAATATTTACATTACATCCAATCATTTTGAATTTCTTTGCTTGCTACAAACTTTTTAACAATTTCCATCAATACGTTATTACTACTTATACTGCTTTATCTTTATTTATCTTCTTTATATGGCATTACAAAGTCAAATAACAGTAAGCACTGCTTTTTTGCATATTTGCAAATCATTGATAAATATGCAAAAATATAAATTGCTCTTTTAAGTCACTGCTAATGCTTAATGCATTTTTGCATGGCACAAAAATAGATTACTTTCGCTTTATTAAACTTTTATTTAAAACTATTATAATATTTAATGGTGCATTGTAGAGCAGTCTAGGATCTACTGTTAATTCTTAAAAAGTAAATAAAAATTACTTAGCAAAAGATCACGTCCAATAACTACACATTTAACTTACTTAACGCTCATAAATATTATGAAAATATAGATAAATTCACTTTACTAATAAAACAAATTAAGCATTTAAAGTTATTTTTTTAAAAAAAGTTTGTCTATTCTTTCATGTCTTTTATACTTTTTTATTTTTAATAAAGTAATACTATTTTTGATTTAAAAAATTTATTAAAAAACAAACCTAAATTTAATAAACTTTAATATTTTTTTCACAACTTATTTACATAATAACTTAAAAAATTA